TGCCTACGTGATCAGAGTTTACCTATTACAGGGCCAGTACATTGTCGCCTATGCCTTAGGACTCTACCACCTAGCTTTTCAGAGCTTTTCTTTCTCCAAAATCAGATCCTGACCTAATGGAAGATTCAGATGATGGCTCTTCCTTGCCGACCAAACAGAACGAGGAATCCCTGCCCTTCATCCAAAGGCTGCCAGAGCTCACATTTTGGCTCTTTGCCACCAAGGGCATCCTGGTGGCCATGGCCTGCATATTGTTCGAGGTGTTCAACATCCCAGTGTTCTGACCCATCCTGCTGATGTACTTCATCATTCTTGTCTGTATCATGATGAAGAGGCAGATAAAGTACATCACAAAATACCTGAATATCCCATTCACACATGGCAAGAAGAAATGCAAAGGGAAGGAGGATGTGGGAAGACATTTGCTAGTTACAAGCTCGACAGAGTCTATCACCTGAATCTCAAGAATGATTTGAGCAATTGTAACAATGCCTTTTTTTCTTCACATAAGGTAGTGCATTGTCTTTTTAAAAAAGAACTTCAGTTATTTTTGTCAGAAATATCAGATTATTGAAGAAACTTGCATTTAATTTTTTAGAGACGGTCACACTGTTCACACTGGTAGAGCCCTAGTAAGGATGGTGCAGCAGACAGTCTGTGGGGCCAGAGGGCAGGTGGGTGGGTTGAGACGGCCTCTTGCACAGGTGACAGCGAGGCCTTTGTGGAGGGATCCAAGTTCTCCAGGACACCTGCAGGAGGGGTCAAGCTAGGACAGTCCTGCACAGGATGGCTCACCTGATGTCGCCTGTCTGGAAAATTTGCACAAAGAAAAGGTGACTACCCTTAGGAAAAAAAAAAAAAGAAGAAGAATTCTCATGTGGCATATGTTATTCTCTCAAAAGACTGTAGTGAAATAAAACCTAGTCCTGAGGGAGCAGGTCATGTTAAGGGAGCAAAGGGTATAGTAGGGAATGCATATAAGTACAGTCCAAATAAAACATCCAACTGGGTAGAATCAAGGATACTAAATGCAAAAAAGTCTTATCTCTGGTGAAACTAAAGGAGTGACTAGTGACTGATGACTCACTCAAGACATTTTTGGGTCTTTAAAGAACAATCTGCCTTAAGAACCACTGGATACTTCATTTTTTCCCCTCCTCTTATCCCCATCTTAAGTGGTTTCCTATATTCACAAGAAATTTCCAGGCCTGGTGGACTGAAAACCCACTATAATCTTCAGCAGGAACAATGATTGCCTGCACTTGAGAACACCAGCGAGCCTGGAGAAAGTTTTTGAGGTGAGAAGAATGGTGAAACAAATTAAAAAGCAGGGTATTCTTGAAGAATTTAGACAACAACAACAACAAAAAAGCCAAGAGAAAGGATTGGCAGCTTCTCTCAAAAGTTTATTAATCTAGAATAAGTCGAGAGGCAGTTTGATATTCCTCTAACCAGTCTTTTATTCTCAAGGGTTGTTCCGAGGATGTCCTGGATGCCATTGTTAACTCAGTTTGAGGTACTGACAGTTGTTGTTGTTGTGTACCATAACGTCAGAACTGACCCATAGCTTACCCTCCAGCAGGTTTTCAGGGGTAGTCAATCTCTCTCGGGAGAGAATGACAATCATAATTATCCTCTCTCTGGCTTCCAAGTAGTCATTGAGAGTAGGGTTGCTGGGAATCTTTATTGTTGCTGTTGTTGTTAGGTATCATTGAGTCAAGTAAGATCCATAGCTGACCGTCTGATAGGTTTTCAGAGACAGTGTATTGCTCCAGGGGAGATTGCCCATCCTTCTTTGGCAGAGCAGCTGGTGGACTTGAACCACATACCTTCAGGATTGCAGCACAGCTTCTGGCCACTATGTAATTACTACTTTGCCACTTTAGACTAGTTATTAAACTTATTTAAGCATTAAAAAGCCAGAAGCTAGCATGTTTTCCATCACAACTTTATGAATAACAGATCTGAACCCTGCCATATCCTGCACCATCCTTATCATCCTCAATATACCTGAGTCCATTGCTTCAGTCATCATATCAATCTAGTTGAGGGTCTCCCTCTCTTTTGTTGACTCTCCACCTTTCCAAGCATGATTTCCCTTTAGAAGAATAGCCTGCTTTTCTTAACAGCTTGCCAAAATATGTGAGTTGAAGTTTCACCATCCTTGCTTCTAAGGAGCATTCTGGCTGCACTTTCTCGGGCATTTCTATTTCTTCTTCTTGCAGTCCATAGGATATTCACTATTCTTCTCCAGTGCCACAACTAAAAGGCACCAGGAAAAACTTAAGTAATAGACTTTTCTTAGAGGAAGTAAAAATGTGGCAGAGGGAAGAACTGGTATATTTGCATGGCTGGGCACAAAACGTCATATGTAGCTATTTAAGAATATTTCAAAGATAGAGAATTCAGTTTAAAAGAAACTATATGGAGTAATTATTAGGTTATGTTGAAGGAAATCGTGGGGATGTTATTTTTTAGCAAGGTAGAAAAGTGAGGGAGATATAAAGACCTGTGTTACCTGAAATGTTGTGATTTGTTTATCAATCACAGGATGGTAAAATAGAAATTTATTTCTTCCTTCATTGTGCCTTCTGTAAAGGAAGAAAGATGGTGTTAAACAGCCATGCTGTTAAAGATCTTATGATCTCTGAAGTACGTCGAAAGGCAGTTACGTTAAATTCTTGAAAAGGAAACTAGAAATTATGAATTGATATAACCAGGTAAGTTTAGGAGATGGATCATAGAAATTTTGGCAGAACTGCAACACAGAATATGATAAATGAATGTTAGTGATATTTGGTGCTAAGCTGTTAGAAATTATCTTAATAATTGTTGCCTTTATGACTATATTTTATTGATTTGTCTTCTCAAGTCAATGATAAACTCTCTTGTTGGTTCCTTAAAACATATTCTATCTGTTGAAGTGACTCAGATCCAAGCTTACAAAGCTAATTGTAATTCCCCCCCTTCTTTCTTTTCTTATAAGATGGCACAGCATTATTCGTTTTGGTTTTATTTTACTGTCTTTTTCCCCCCTATAAAGATTATTTTTGTTGTTGTTGTTTTATTTATTTACTTGTCCCCTCCTTTTTGTGTAAGGCATTGGTAAAAACAAACAAACAAACAAACAAACAAAAAAACCCCAAACAACTCTGCTAATAGGAATGATTTCCTTTTTTAGTATTTCCTTTACAATCCCTGATATACCATTATCCTCTTGACATAAATGCTTCAAATTTAGCACAGCAAAGAGAATTAATCTTGTCCTTGGTTTAAACAACTTTCCATACATACTTCCTGTGTATTTTTTTGTTTATTTCTTTCAGTAAATGATATCAATATTTACTAAATAACTGAAACAGTGCTGGCTTCCTTCTTTTTCTCAGTTCTAACTGACCAGAGCCAGCCATTGGCTTGTGTCTGTGGTTTTCTCTTCCCCCTTTGTAATACTTACATTATGCTTCTTCAGTTCCATTATTAAACGTATTCTTTAAGCACTTTTAAAAAAATTGTAAGAGCCTACTAAGGATATATTTTTCTGTATCTTTTTATGAACCTTGAGACGATTCTTAGGGAGCTCTGGTGGCTGAATGGTAAGAAATTGCGCTGCATCCCAAAGGCATGTGGTTTGAATCCACCAGCTGCTCCATGGAAAAAGGATGCACAATCTCCTCCCATGCAATTTACTACCTTTGAAACCCACTGGAGGATCAATGATAGGTCAGTTCCAATTCAATGACAAATGACAATAGAAAATTCTTAATAATGACTCAAGTTTGATATTAACATAAGTCTGGTCAAATCACTTTTCATTATAGTGACTACCTTTGTCTTCCAAGATTTAGTAAAATCTCCTGACATTTGAACACACATTCCTTCAGAATTATTGTACCTTTCTATTTAGTCTTGGGTCTCTCAACCATTTATAGAGCCACTCTATTCTAAATTTAACTTTATGAAATAATATTTGTTTACCTTTTATATTCTCTAGGGAGCTTGGTGGCCTGCGTTAATACTGTGGTGCATTTTCTAGATGTCAGTCATCACAATGCCCAACAGAGTCTTTGTTCACGTTATTATGCTTTTAGGTGCTGTTAGGTCAACTATAAGAAATAGCCACTTTAGCTTGTTGAGAGTGTTTAATAGAGTTTGAAATTTTGTCTTTTGAGACCTCTCTCATGAATATTTAACAATAAATCTTCCCTGATCCCCATAGATCACATATGTTTCCTCTAATCTAAGGTACTTTTATAATATCTTCCATTAAAATTAAAACATTCTTTATTTTAATTTAGGGACCACTGGTGGTGTAGTCAGTAGGCAGTTGCACTACTAATCCAAAATTCACCCATTTCTGGTAGTTCTAATCCATTAGTAACTCCACAGATAAAAAAGGGACAATATTCTCCTTTCAGTTAACAGTCTCAAATATCAAATGCAGGGTCAGCTATGAATCACTTCTTACTTGACAGTGAAAAGAGAGCTATTTTAATTTAAACTTTCTAGGAGAAGTTATTCCTTGGAAAGGGACATCTTATTCTTGGAAAGGTGAAGACTTAGTAAAATAAAGATCTTCAATAAGATGCATTGGCACAATGACTGCAGCAATGAGCTCAAGTGTCTCAAAGATAATGAGGATGTCATAGGATAGGACAGAGTTCAAGTCCATTGTTCATAGGGTCTCTATAAGTTGTTGTTCACTTAGCAGCACCTTACAGCGAGAACAACAGCAACAATATATTCACCAAATTATGAGTATTTAAAGGCCTTTCTTATATATTTGTTCATTTTCCAGCAATACCAGATTTTTTTTACAAAATATGTTCTCAGTAAATATTTGTACAATGAAGAGATAATAAATTGTCAAAGTACTAAATAGAAAGACTATATGAAAAGAACAGATGAATGATTCATCATTTCTTGATATAGTGATGACTTTTATCTTAACCACTTCACATTTCTTTCTTGTTGAATAGAATGAAGTTACCTCCATCAACAGAATGTCTGTTTTTAACAACTCCAATCTATACCCCCGCTTCCTACTGACAGGATTCTCAGGCCTTGAAAGCATGTATGGCATCATTTCCCTTCCTATCTTCTTGGTTTATATCATATCAATTACAGGGAACATTATCATCCTGTTTATCATCAGAACCGAGCCTTCCCTCCACCAACCCATGTACTACTTTCTGTCAATGCTGGCATTCACTGACCTTGGCTTATCCACGACTACCTTTCCTACCATGTTCAGTGTCTTCTGGTTCCATGCACGAGAGATTCCCTTTAATGCCTGTCTTGTCCAGATGTACTTCATTCATGTTTTCTCAATTATTGAATCAGCTGTACTGTTAGCCATGGCATTTGACCGCTTTGTAGCAATCAAAGAACCTCTGCGTTATGCAACTATTCTAACCAATAGTGTAATAATTGGCATTGGATTGACAATTGCTGGAAGGGCCCTGGCTCTGGTTTTTCCAGCCTCCTTCCTCCTGAAGAGGCTTCAATATCGAGCTGTCAATATTCTTTCCTATCCCTTTTGTCTACACCAGGACCTCATAAAGACAACTGTATCAAGCCGCCGGGTCAGCAGCATCTATGGTCTCATGGTGGTCATCTGCTCCATGGGACTAGATTCAGTCCTTCTTCTACTCTCTTACCTCCTCATTCTTGGCACAGTGTTTAGTATAGCCTCCAAGTCAGAGAGGATCAAAGCCCTCAATACTTGCATATCGCACATCTGTGCTGTACTCACCTTTTATACACCTATGATTGGACTATCTATGATCCGTCGTTATGGGCAAAATGCCTCTCCAATCGTTCATGTGCTCATGGCCAATGTCTACTTGCTTGTCCCACCCCTCATGAACCCTATTGTCTACAGTGTCAAGACCAAACAAATTCGTGACAGAATCCTTAAGAAGTTCAAGAAACAGAAAGTGTAGTTGGAAGAAACACTAGAAGTAGTTTTCCTTCCCTATGTTCATAATAATCTCTTATTAATGTAGAAATTTGAATTTAAACATGACTAGCAATATGTAATCTTTAATATGATATTGTTGTCAGGTAACGTAGAATTGACTACAACTCATAGTGACTCGATGAACAATATATTTGAACTTTGCCCTATTCTGTGCCAGCCACATGGTCTCTGTTATGCCCAAATCCATTGTGTTAGTGACTGTGTCAACCCGTCTTGTGGAAGGTCTTCCTCCTTTTTGCTGATTCCCTACCTTTCCCTGCATATCTAGCTCCAAGAACTGATTCCTCCTGAAAATATGCCAAAGTTAATGAGATGAAGTTTCATCATCCTTGTCTCTAAGGAGCACTTTGGTTGCGCTTAATTCAAGATAGATTTGTTTATTCTGCTGTCTGTTAGTCTCACTGTATTGATGATATTATGTTAACTACTAAGGACAGTTCTGTTTTCAGATTATGTATATACTATAATCATCCACCTACACGTAAAAAGTAAACCACAAATCTTCAGAAGTTTCAAGAACCAAAATTGTTAGTAAAATTCCTAAAAGTTGTAAAATCTGTGCATTGCCTGAAGTAAAGGTGCAAAGTTACTCCTACTATAAGTTGTAATAGAGGTGTTAACAATTGTGAGAACTTACTAAATAGTTATAAAAAGCATAAAATTGTTTGGAAATCTGTGGCTGAGTAGAAGGATAATAGGAATAGTACTGTTTTAGAAAGAAAAGAAAGTAGTTCAGTCTTAAACTAAAAGTCCATTTTTCCAGAAAGAGTACCTATAAAGTAAAAGTAAATAAAGTGTAAAAAAAGGTATATAAATAGCAAACAAAATTTTATTTCAAGTAATAATAAATTGTTATGCATAGTCTTTAAAATAAAAAAAAAATCCAAGCAAATCAAGTTTACTCTTAAATGTTTTATCTTCGTTGAAAAGAGAACATGAGATGTACCTATACTTACTGCTAAGATACCACCTTTCTAACATACTTTCTGAGATTACCTGCAAATAATCTAGACGTGGAACCGCACATGAGCTCCCATATCTTCTGTGAACCCTTAAATCAGCCTCCACTCAAAGGAATCCAGCTCTCGTTCATAAACTATGATCCCATCCAGGAGATAGTAGATAGAGCAGTCATTGTCCCCACTTCCCAAATAACACTGAGGCTCCCATTTCAGAAAGCTGCTTAAAAAGAACAATAAGGTTAAAGAAGAAGCTGAAAAGTGGGTCAGTGGAGAGAAGAAAAGAAGTTTCAGGTCCCAGAAGAAGAAGCAGCTTTCTACCATCTTACCTCACAGGCAAAATTAAATTCTCAGAAGGGACTTTCATATTTGTCTAAGGGCACTCTTCTTAAACAATTAAGTTTAAACACTTATATAACAAGAAAAGCACTCAGATTACTAACAAGAAACAACTCCTTAGTTATAAGGCATCTGTTTTGCCTAGAGCTGTGTTTTTGGATTACTTACTTGAGTATCTTACATTCATGTATCCACATAACTTATCTCAGGACTAAGTACTCTATTTCAGAAAACCGGCTACTCCAGTGGGACAGAGAGAATCAATAGACACCTCAAGGAGACAATTGTAGATATCCTTGGGATGCTAGCCACACCCATGAGCATCCACAGCTAAGACGCATAGGGTATTTGACCCCGAGCCATCTTTGTTTGGACACAGTAAACCCCACAGTGGTAGGAAGGGAAGCAAATGTTTCTGGGGAATCAATGGAAAGGGGATGGATCTAGGCATTGCATTGTCATTAAAAGACAAATCCAAAGTCATTTGAAAAAGGTTTTCCAAGTGTTTCATTCATTCTTAGAAATAACCATTTGCCCTCTTCCTGAAGTTCCACAGGCCATTGAAAACCTTTTCCTAAACGTGGGGGGGAAAATCCCCAGAACCCTAAATGTAACCTCATGCTTCATGTGCAGAGGTACCCTAACAGGAAATCAATGTCCACCACAAGCCCAGAAATTAAAACCAAATGTTTGAGAAAAAGAAGTGAGAGATCCCTCCTTCACTCCCCCTGTTTAAGCTTTCACGGAATTAATTACTTAGAATTAATTACTCTTAATTGCTACAGGTCAGTTTCATCGGCCAACACTGTGTGAAATGATGGGGACCCAACTTACCAACCTACTAGGTCAGTACAACTGTTTAAGATAGAAGGTATACAATGAAACCCCAAAACCCAGTGAGTGATGTGGAAATGCCTCATGCAAAAATATCCATTCCCCTCCTTCTTTCTCCACTTTAAATGGCAGTTGGAATAATATAGAAAAGATAGGAGGCTTGCCTGCCTCTGTATGTCTCTACCAGATCTGTGAAGACAGGGCCTGTCCCCAACTGCCTGACTAGCAGGTTCAGGAGTTGCCTTCTAGGGATCATAAGGCCCTCTTTCTTTCTGTTTCCACTCAAATAGGGTGAAGCCCTGGAGTATTCTTTATGGTCTACCAATTCTTGCAGCAAATTAGCAGTGCAAATTGAAACTTGGAAAAACAATGAGTGACCTCCAGAAACAAGAATTCAGTACTATAGGCCAGTCACATGAGTTGAAGATGAGTCATGGACATAGCAAACCCCCATTTACATGCTGAACTGCATCATTTGGTGCCAAGTGGGAGTTAAAATGATCACAAATGAGATATTCAGAGCCCTAACAGTACTAACCTAAACTAAACTAAGAAATGAAATTTATCAAAACAGACTGGTCTTATATTATATGCTAACACAAAAAAAGTGAAGTGTGTTAAAATGTTATCTAAATTATTGTCTAGAAAGAGATGATACAAAGAAGGTAATAAGTGAGATAACGAGAATTATCTGGAAAATTGCTCATGTCCTTGTACAAATCTGAAACACGTGGAGTTCCCAAACCCTGGAGAAGAGAGTAGTTCTCTGCCTTCAGAGAACTCAAAACCCTCAAGGTAAAAGTCCTAGTCATGGTTGGGTCTTTTTGGATAATTCGATGCCTTTTTGCATTGGCAGTCAGAGCTATACATTCCACCACTGGAATAATTATCTTCCAGAAAACAGCATCACACATGTTTTATGTAAAGCACTATCAGCTCCTGCAGAAGCAAGCAAATTGTGATACTCCTAATGGTTATTGTTATCATGGAGTCTTAAAGGGAGGAAATGAGGAAGGAGTTTCATACACCCTAAGACCTGCAGAGCCCTGATAAGGCCTTGAGTCTCACCCCTTAGTCCTGTTATCTTTGAGAAACTTCGCTTTCCTAGTTTCTGCCTTTGGAAATTGAAGCTCAGGTTACATCCAGATACTAACATTTCCCACCTTTGTAAAATCTACTTAACCAGAGACCACCAATAGGAAAGTAACACAGCGAGCACTCCTATTCAGCGCTATATAATTTGATAAAAGGTAAAGACAAACTTTGAAGGGGGCACTTGGTTCTTAAGATATTAACTCTGCCTAACTAAACTCTACTGGCAATAAAGCCTCTTCCTTTAATGCAACTGGTGTTCCAGTGATTCTTTCTCCAATCTGAGTCCTGCCTTCCTGTGACAATATTTCTACAAACTGTTGGTCTTAATAATAATCTGAAAATATCACTGAGTACATTTTTTAACTTTCTATTCTGGAAGGGAAGGAAAAGAACAAGACCTTTCTTATTAAGAAAGAATGGTGAAGGAGTCAAATTTGCACCCTTTCATTACTTTGGTCATGTGGCGGGGATGGACCAGTTCTTGGAGAAAGACATCATGCTTGTAAGGGTGGAGGGACAGCACAAGAGAGGAAGACCCAGGATGAGATGGATTAACTCAGTGACTAGAGAAATGGGATTAGATATGGTAGAGACAATGAGATTACCTCAGAATAAGACAGAGTTCACACCTATTTTACCTACGTTCCCTATGAGTTGCAGGTGACTCCATGGCACATAACAAAGCAACAGTGCTAACATATAGAAGAGAGGAGGCATGAACTTCTCAAATCTGTCTCAACAAGGGAAAGTTCTGAGGAGATTTTTGTGGACAAGGGTATGAAGAAGAGCTTGTACAACACATTTAGTAAGGAAAGGCAAGATTAGAAAGGGTGAGGGTATTCGAATCACGAGGTGTTTACAGTTGGCCTCCAAGATCCCATGTTTAGTCTCGTTAGATATTTAGTCATCACAGGACACACACTGTAGGTTTCCCTCTTTCAAGATGATGGATATCCAGTTAGGTCCTTCTTGTTGTTATTATGTGCCATCAAATAGGAATTGACCCATTATTGATCCTCCAGTGAATTTTCAAAGGCAGTAAATCATGTAGGAGATTTCCCATCTTTCTCCCTTGAAAACGTCAGTGGATTAGGACCTCATGGCTTTGGGTTGGCATTGCAGTCTCCTTACTACTAGGCCGCCAGAGCACCCTATTAAATTCTTATGTATCACAAAACACTCTTTTTCAGAATGTCTGCCCTCTAAGGAGTCATACAGGAGTTATTCCTATTCTTAAGTCTTGGTTTCAGTGTAGCAGATGCTCAAAGTCCAACACCTCCTGAAGAATGAATAAGTTTTCTTCAGAAAAATTTGTCACAGACAAACATAAAAGCAAACAGTATTAGGTTTATTAGTGAAAGAAGAATGAAATACAAACAGCTAAAAGCAGTACATGGTCTAAGAGTCAGACAATGGAGTCCCTCTCACAAATGAGAAGGAACAGGGTCTAGGAACAGAAGTATTGATGGGATTCTTCTCCTTAATCTTAAATGTTTCATATTTCCAATTAGTGACTTTTTTTCTGATTGATGATGAGAAACAACTTATTAAATGATGATCACAAGTGTTTTCCAAGGTTGCTGCAGTAGCTTTGTTTCCCCAAAGTTATAGATCCAAGTTCCAAACATACAGTGGAGTAGAATGGAAGAGCTCTCTTAAGGACGAGATCCAAGTTACCGCCCTTGTTTGTTTTCCTGCTTCATTCTTAGACCCTTGTCTCCTCATTGCATTCCCTTTGCTGTCTCTGACCCTAACATTATGGCACCTGAAAGTTCTTATCAAAGTTAAAGTTTGTTAAGAGGGAACACCTGAAAGGGCCCAGGCTATACATTTCCTAGGTTTGTGCTGCCTGAATTAGTTGCATGCTGGCTTTCTTGGTCTGAACAGTCTTAGGGGTAAATACCTTAATTAAGAATATAATGTAGACAAGAAAACAAAATGGAAAATTAAAGTCTGTCATTAAGAATAAATATAGTAGTAATTCAGTTAAAATTCTCTTGTTGTGGTTATTATGTGCCATTGAGTCAAGTACGACTCACAGTGACTCTACAAACAACAGATTTGCACTCAGTCCTATCCTGTGCCATCTTCATCATCTCTGACATCCTGGAGCCCATTGCAGCAATCAGTGTCAGTCTTCTTCATTGATGGTCTTTCTTTCTTTTGCTGACTCTCCATTTTTCCACACATGATGTCCCGTTCAAAGATTAGCCTCTCTTAACAGTATGTTCAAAGTATGTGATCAAATTTGCCATTCTTTCCTCTAAAGAACACTCATTTTGCACTTTTTCCAAGACATATCTGTTGTTCTTTTAGCAGTCTATGGGATATTAAATAATATTCCCCAATATCAAGGTTCAAGACATCAATTCTTCTTCTGTCATCATTATTTACTGTCCAGCTCTCAAATGAATTGCAAGTGACTGAAAAGACCATGGCCTAAATCCAGCCCACCCTAGTCTTTAAACTGACATCATTGCTACTTAGTAATTTGAAGTGGTCCCTGACAGCAGATTTTCCTAATACAATACATCTTTTGGTTCTTAACTGGTGATACCCAATGACTTTACTGACTATATAATATGTTGTTGTTGTTGTTAAATGCCATTGAGTCATAGGCGACTCATAGCAACCCTATGAATGAGAGTTCTGGACACCTGTCTAACTATTGTCCTTTCTCCTCTTTCATCCTTTCTTATAGTTCATGCACAATAATTTCATGACCCTAGAAATGCACTCTGCTTCACTTAATTTACTATCTCTCTCCTATTAAGTTGCCATTAGACATGGTCATTTTATTGTCTTTATAATTTTACCTTTTCTGATGATCATATACTCAGAACCACACTATATAGTTTCATTTAAATATATGCATATAATATTTGTTATAGATACACATGTATACACTACATGAACATTCAAAGAGATATATATGTATTATATAATCTATTTATTTTAAATTTCTAAAGTATATAAAGTAATTCTGTAAAATATCTGTGATATATGCAAATTTAAATCACCTGCTACATATTTGTAATACTAAAACATTGTGATACGAGGTAATGAATAAACAGACATTAAAAAGAAATAAATGAAAAACTGGCCAGTGCACATATGGAAATTTAATGTTTAAAGAAGAAAAAAAAACACATCACTTCTTTGTGGATGACTTTTTACATTTACTGTATTAGGAAAATAGTTTAGAAATAGAAATGAAAAAAGGATTTCATTTTGTTACTTCACATTTTATGTAAAAAGTAGTTATAGTTAGATTTAAATGTAGAAATAAATGTATCAATACATGTACAACAATAATAAAATAAATGTTATGGATAATAAAGCTATGCAAAAGTCTAAAGTTTGACAGTGGTAGGCTTTACCATAGGTAATATAATTATAAACTCTAATTTTCCATGTGAAAAAAATTATTAGATATAAAACAATAATAGAAAAATTTTGATAATTTATATACGCAAATAGCTCATGCAAAGAGAATTTTAAGAATCTAGTCAGGCAACTTGTGTGGAGCAGAAATAAGTAAATAGTGCAAAATATATACAAAACAAGCTAAATCATCAGAAGTTTGCTACTTATCAGTTCTACTTTTGAGTATTGAAGTTATATATAGTTTTCAAATATGCACCAAAATTTTTCAAAGGATACCAATATTGTTTCTAAATTAGAAAACCCTACATATATTACTAGTAAAGAAATTAATAGGTATTCCAGGGAGATGTTAAGCAGTCATCCAGCTGAAATATGTTGGTTCAAATCTACTCAGCAGATGCTTGACAGAAAGGTTTAACAATCTGCATGTGAAGGGTCACAGCTGTGAACACAGATTAATTCTATTCTGCACACACAAAGTCACCTTAATTCAGCACTGACTCAAAAGCAACAAACAACAGTGAGATGAAAGAGCTAATAAATTGCAAACAAAGAACAATTTTACTTTATATATAGATAGAAAGAAAGCTATATGATATACTTACCAACATGGATTTCCAATTTTGATATTAAAACGTTGTCTGTAAAATCATACCCAGTATGTTATAATTTACACATATTAAATTTCTTAACTTTAATCATCTCAAAATGACTTACCAGATTTATAAATTCATGGTTGTGGTAGGTGCCATCAAGTCCACTGCAACTCCTGATAACCCTGAGAACAACAGATCTGTACCTTCCCCTATTGGTTGCCATCGTCCTGTCGATCCTGCACTAGCTCATTGTGATAGTCACTGTGTTAATCCACCTCCTTGAAGGTCTTCCTAGCCTTAGCTGACCGTCAACTCTTCCTAGCATTTCTCTCATCAAGGACTGATTTCCTCCTGAAAATATGCCCAAAGGAAGTGAAGTAAAGTTTCACCATCCTTGCCTCTAAAGAGCATACTAGCTGAATGTTTTCAGGATTGAGCTGTTTGTTCTTTTGACAGTGCAAGGAATCTCCAGTGCTCTTCACCAACACTTCATTCAAAGGCATTGATCATTCTTCTGTCACCTTTAATAATTGTTCAACTTTTAAATGCGTAGGAAGATATCCATGACTTGGATCAAGCCTTAGTCTTTGACTTTGAATGTTTGATATTTGGAGAGATCCTTGACAGCACATTTCCTAAATGTGAACTGTTTTTGTTTTTTTGGTTTTTAAAAATATTTCTTCACTGCTGCTGCCACGGGTGTTGATTGTATATCCAAGTAAAATGAAATTGTTGGCAACTATTTTTATAGAGAATTTAAATTTGTGTGGCAATACTTTCATCAAACAAATACAGTTTATATTTATTTTAAAAATAATCCAGTAGAGCATATGGTCATAATCAAAGGAGAAGAACTAATGAATTTAATCTGCATTAGGGTAAAGACCATAGATTATTTCAACTTAAATGTATATATTTGACTGAAAGGACCATTCAAGAATATAGCTGTTATCTATCTATCTATGCATGTATATCTATATCGATGGCACATAACAACAACAACATGTTAATATATATTATAAAGATGCTTAGTTATAATTATATGTATAAATAGTTATACAGAGAGAAACATACAGTTATGTATAGTTAAATATTATAGATCACAATCTTAAATCACTGTTAACAATGTCTTTCAAGTAGATTCTGATTCATAGTGACCTTATAGGAGAAGATAGAATTTCCCCTATACAACTTCTAAAGATATACATTATATAAAAAGAGACTGTACATTTTTTCCTTTTGAAGTAACTGATTTATGAAACCTCCAACCTTTCATTGGGCAGCTGATTTCTTAATTACTGTACCTGCAAAGTTCTTATGACAAATGTTAATTCCATGTTCTGGGAATGAAGACATTTATTTAATAGATTCTTGCCATATTTTCTTTTATGAAGGAGAATTTATAAACAAAATTTTTATTAAAAATTATTAATAAACATAACAATAACATACCATATTTTACTCCAAGTGATACAATGAAAGAGGCACATCTCTTTTTTACAATAGCAATCAGTCTTTGACTTCAAAGTAGTTTAAAGATTATTCAAAAAAAAAAAAAAAGAAAAAAAAAGATTATTCAGAGTGCAGCGTAAGTAAAATATCTTGGAAGGTAACTTGGTTTGCACAAAATTTTAGTACAGAAAAGAGTTTTTCTTAAGGGGATTAAATCACCAGTAAACCAAGGATTTAGAAATATTTTTTAATAAAGACATGGAGAACTCGCTCTCTTATCTGTTTAGTCCTCACTCCATAAATGATGGGGTTAAGTGAAGGTGGGATAGCCAAATAGAGGTTAGCAATAAGAATGTGAATATAGCGAGGTATCTTGTGTCCAAATCGGTGAGTAAGAAAAGAGAAGACTGAGGGAATGTAGAAAACGCAGAGGACTGCGATATGGGAGCCACAAGTGCTTAGGGCTTTTTTCCGTGCATCCTGGGATGGGAATTGGAAGACAGTATGGAGTATATACACATAGGAGATGGCAATAAATACTAACATCAGAAGAAAGAGGGAGACCACAAAGAGCCCATAGATACCATTGACACGAATGTTCCCACAAGACAATTTTGCAATGCCCATGTGCTCACAGTAGGAATGGGCTATTACACGAGCCTGGCAAAATGGTAGGCGGTAAATAAGATAGATCATGGGAAGTACAAGCATGGATGGATAAATTATAATGAACATACCCATACCAAACAACACACGGGCTGTTAGGATGGTTGTGTAGTGCAGTGGAGCACAGATGGCCACATAACGATCAAAGGCCATGGCGAATAGGACCGCGGATTCCATGCCAGTGAAGGTGTGGATCAAAAACATTTGAGTCACACAAGCTGCAAAGTTAATCTCATGAGCATCCAGCCAAAAGATGCCCAGCATGCGGGGCACAGAGGTCGTAGGAAGTGCTAAGTCAATTGTTGAAAGAATAGCCAGAAAATAGAACATTGGGTCCCGGAGGGTATGCTCCGTCTTGATTACTAAGAGGATTGTGGCATTGCCCAACAAAGCCATAAGATAAAGAGTGCAAAAGGGCAGGGCGATCCAGGTGTGGATCTCTTCTAGACCTGGGATTCCAACGAGGAAAAATGTGGTTGGGTGGAAAATGCTGCTGTTGTGATAAATCATTCTTCAAAATGGTACAATAGGGGAAATAGCTGTTTTAGTGAACGCTCATAGTGAGCTCTGGTGGCCTAGTGGTAAGGGGCTCTGCTGCAATCCCAAAAGAAATGCACTTCTAATTCACCAGCTGCTCACAGGAAAAAGATGGGCATTATTTTCCCATGTGATACACTGGAAGGTCAGCTGTGGTTCCAATCAGACTTGATGGTCCACAACAACAACAAATAGTGAAAGGAGAAGAAAATACTTGAATAAGGGATTTTTATTCAATAGAAATTAAATGTAAAGGTTGCAGAATTCTAAGAAATATTATATATTATTAACTTTAGAGGAATTTTGTGTGTCCTGTATTCCTTGTGAGTTCTTTGATTAGTAGGGACATATAAAAATCAAAGATACACACACTACATACATATACAGAAATAGAAAAAGAATGCAAGGACCCAAGTCAGTAAATTCATGTATCTAAATGCAAAAGAAAACCTACAGTAGTAATGTTGGTTCCAAGTCACAGATACTCTAAACAAGGTTTTAGAGGTCATGCTCTTTACAGGAGAAATCTGTAAGTAGAATCTATAGTTTCCTCTCTAATGATATATCTGTGACTTACTGACATGGAGATAAATATGGAAATATCTGCAGTGGCCTACGAGATGCTGCCTCAAGGGCAGACACAGAATGATAAAAACAAATGTGTTAGTCCTCTGATATATTTTCACAGGAGCAGACAAACTGAGTTATATGTTAACGTACTTGAGGAAAGAAAGAACAAGTATAATAATAATAAACTCTATAGCCAATTTTCATTGATGGTTCTATTGACCTATTGCCATCCCATGTGGTGTGGCTTGGTTTAGGATGGTAACGGTTGTTAAAGTATCTGATTATTTATTTTGTTACCCATTTTGTATCAGTTTCCCTGCACCTATCTCTTCATTTTACCATTACTACAAAGCTAAAACTTACTGAGTTCTCTTCATTGTTGGTTAAATCAGTGGAAATGTGAATAGCAGACAAAAAGGACGGCTTCAGGAGGAGTTCATAGATTTAAGGTTGACCTTTTTGAGTGACACAAACTTGTCAGGATTAGCAGTCTCACTGAAGAGACAAATGATTCCATTGCTTGTCTACAGGAAATAGAGGAAGGCACTTTTAGAATGTCTTAAAAATGATGTACAGGTAAGCAAAGCACTTAAAAGCTCCATAGACTTTATCTGGATTACCATCTTAGGGCATGATGATTTAAGACAAGGATGAAGCATCAACTTTTTAACTTATCTTTAATATAGCTCCATACAGCTGAAAAACTATCAAGCCAGGAAATACATCAAGGTGTAAAAATTAAATTATATTTCCCTTCTGAGATTAGACCAGAGAGACAGAATGAAAGAGAATGATATGATAGCCTGCACAATGACTTACTAATTGTGCTTTTTACTTATTAAAATATCCGGGTAATGTTGCTTACAACAGTGACAGGCTACTGACTCACAACAGATCTTTGCAGGTCTGCTATCAACTTTAAAGTGAGCATAAGAGGTGTAAAGTTAATTTTGGCTCACTTAAAAATTTCCTAACAGGTGAAGCTGTTACTATATTTTATTGACCATCTCATCATATAATCATTATGCATATGTATTTAAGACCCTTGGCTTTTTTATGTATATTAAAAAACATCCATCTTCTTTTTATAGGTTAAGGTTTTTTATAAATTATTTTATATTTATAAACTAAACTACATTTCATGAAGAGTCTAACATTTTTACCTACCTCTTCATTTATGTCTTCCATGTGGCATTAGTACATAACTAAGTTAAGAGAATATCCACCTGTGGACTTTTCTTCACAGGAAAGAAGACACTGGGATAATATCAAGCCAAACAGCTCTGGATCCTTTTCTTCAATATCATCTAAGAAGAGTAATTTTATACTAAGGCTCTACTTTACATGGAGCTCTGGGATTAACTCCACTGAGACTACTGAGTAAACTTTGTTGTTGTTGTTGATGAATACCACTGAGTCAGCATTGACTCATAGCTGACCCTCTAGCAGGTTTTCAGAGGCAGTCAGTCGCATGAGAGGAGATTGTTCATCCGGCTCCTGTGCATCAAAATGGAAAGAATTTACACACAGCAAAATAGAAATGTGGAGACTAAAACATATATTAATAAAATAGAGCAAATATGAAGATATTAACATTTTTTTCTTTTTTTTTACATTTTAAGAGCATTTATTATATTATTTTCATGCGTGGAGACTTTTTTCCTCCTCAGGAAGGTAGTGAAGGAAAAAAGCCCCGAGTTTCCTCTCCTACTTGCTTTTTTTTTTCTTTTTAAGCTTAATTTTTAAAAAAATAATTTTAATGAGCATTTACAGAGATTTTTGGATTTCCATTCATTCATTGCTGCACTTCTCTCCCCACCCAGCCATCCCCCCCGCCAGTTCGCTCCTCTCTTTCAAAAGTAAAAGAAACACTCCCCCGCCCCTCTCCTGCCGCCCCAAGTACATTCCACTATGCAACCTTAATTGTGGACTTTTGTGATAACCATAATACCCTATCATACATCACTTTTAAATTTTCACTCCCTCATCTGTTTCAGTGCAGTATACACAATCCATCCAGTTTTTCTCAGTCTTACCCCAACCCTGATATCGGTCCCATTTTACAACAATGGCACCATGCAATATTTGTCCTTTTGCGACCAAGATACTTCACTCAGCATAATGTCCTCCAGGGTCACCCATTTTGAATAATATTTCATGAGTTCCTTGTTTTTCAATGCAGCATAGTATTCCATTGTGTGAATATACCACAGCTTCCCTATTCATTCGTTTGTTGATGGACACCTGGGTTGTTTCCAACTCCTTGCTATTGTGAACAGAGCCGTGATAAACATGGGTGTGCATATATCTGCTTGGATGTCAGTTATGGTCCTTTTGGGATATATTCCCAGTAGTGGAATTGCTGGGTCAAATGGTATCTCTATTTGCAACTTTTTGAGAAAGTGCCATACCGCCTTCCACAGTGGTTCACCATTTTACACTCCCACCAACTGTGAATAAGGGTTCCAGTTTCTCCACAACCTTGCCAGCATTTGCTGCTTGCTGTTCTATTAATTTTTGCTATTCTGACTGGGGTGAGATGATATCTCATAGTTGTCATTCGTCTTCTTTTAAGTAAAATTTTAAATCTGATTCTATTCTGTTGTGTTATTCATTGTCATAGAGTTAGAATAGCTGATTTTCAGTTGGTATAAATCACATGGGAGGAGATTGCCCTTTTCTCTCCCACGGAGCAGGTGGTAGATTGAAACTGCTTACCTGTCAGTTGGCAGGGTAACTCTTCACCACTAATCCACCTGAGCTCCCTAATTCTACTCTAGTCACCCTTAATTATCTATGCATCTTGATTATATGATTGATCAATTTCAGACTACAGAAATTACCAAAAAAATTGTTATTTGTATCTTCATACTTAATGAATAGTGATAAAATTTTAATAGTAATTTTATTAATTGGTTTTCTTTGTAAATATACAGATATTATCCTTGCCTTGTTAGTGTTGTACTTAAAAAATTATTGAAATGGTTTTGTATGAAGAATACGATGTAATTTGTCATCAATTTTCATCAAAGCCTGTTAGAACACATGCTTGTCTGTTACAAAACACACACAACCAACCTAGTTAGCTCACTAATATCCGGGGCACAGATCTTTAAGCATTCTACTTTAACTTTCACAGGCTTGTATTTTTCTGGATTCATACTTTATGCATTTTATATTTCTATTATTAATGGATATTTACAATTGTTCTAATTTTTATCCATGTTTCATTAGCACATGAAGATACTTAATGTTTTATTCTGTCAGCAAAATGAATGTAAAATATACTCTGAGGAGGAAATTCTTACTCAGTTGTATTTTGAGTGACTTCCAAATTTAAAGGACTGTTGTCCAGCAGTGTGTCAGACAGTGGTCTTGTCCTCTTCTTAAGGTTTTCCACCAGACACCTTTTCTAGATACAGATAATGGCTGTCAGGTCCTTCATCCTTTTCTGTGGGTGATGGCTGTTACAGTTAGTGTACCAATATTAATACTTTATAGTTAACTGACATTACACTTTATTCAAATGTCGTTCTTCAAAAGAAGATCTTATGCCTTATTTCTGCTCCAAAATCAGCTCCAGGATGCTACATTACAGTTGTCATCATTTGTTTTTTATTTCTCTTAGCTGCGAAAGATTTCTAGACTTCTGTCAAATTTTTTTTATGATGTTGGGAGCTTTGAAGATTACAAATCAGGTATTTTCAATAACAGCTCTTTATTGACCTATTCATTGGTTAGATTAGGACCATATCATTTTCTTTTTTTTTTTAAATGAGTATCCATGAGGTGGAGTGCAATTTTCTTAATAATGTATAAGTGCATTCCAACTGCATGACTTACCAATACTGATATACTGATGTTGACCTACAACACCCTGTTGAAGTAATTTTTCCACTGTTCATGCTGAATTTTTTTTCTTAATCTCATCTTTAAATCTTTCACCTTTAAAAGGAAATCACTATGCGAGACTTGTAATATTCTATTTCTATACTCATGATTCTAAGTTTTACTATATTATGGATTTGTCTGCTCTTTGGGTAGCTCTAGTAGTCTAGTGGTGAGAAACCATACTGCAATCCTGAAGGCACATGGTTTGAATCCACCAACTGTTCTGAGGCAGAAGGATAGGCAATCTTCTCCTGTGCGATTAAATAGCCTGTGAAAACCCACTGGAGGTTCAATTGTCAGTGTGTTTGGATTCAATGGTACACAACAACACACAAAATTCATTTATAGATTTATGCATAGTTCTTTTATAATTTGGGTAAAGATCCAATATATTTTATTTAGTTTGTTCTTAAATTACTTACTCTATAATTGGACATTGAGAATTTTTTAACCTTACTCCCATATCTCTATGAAATATGCCTAAGGTGATGTGTTCTGTGTGTTTTAAAGAG